ATATGTTGTATAAAAACAGAACCTTTCGCATCCTGAGTTTGCTCTATCTTATCATTACTTGGGCTCCTTCGGGGTTTGGTATAAAACGTTAATAGAAGTAAAATTAGAACAAAGCAAAAACCATAGGTCGTATGTAGGTTTCATCTTCTGGAGCTCGTTGGTTGAACAGAACTGGAGAAGAGACCATTTGAAAGAGGATAAGAAGCTGCATTGAATTTGCCCGAAATCCTTCGAGGGACTTTGTTCTGCGGGATGCACGTTCAAAAAAGTGTACTTTCAGAACGTCTGAATAAATCAATCAGCACTAATCTACTAAACCGTTTTCTGACTTCTATGTGGTAGAACAAAGCGCTTTCCCACGTAAGCTTAAGGCTTGTTTTTAGTGTCACCCAAGCCCTAGTTGAATTTGTAAGCCTCTGTTTGAAAAATACAATTTGGAGCTTTTACCTTATTTGTTCGGCCAAGGTATTGCCTGGAATATCCCGAAGCTCCAAAAAATAGCTCGGAACATTTCCACACGTTCCATCATCTTTCAACACATGAGAAACACCGTAAGATACATCGAGAATTTCAACCTGAAAGACAAATGCTGAAAAGCTGCTCATCTTGTATGTCAGAATGGTTGATATCATGCTTTTCTGCTATATAAATATTCTAAGCAGGACTGAAGATTCATTTAATTCACTGAGATTGTCATCAGCTGTAGTTTTCGAATTTTGCAAGGATTGTGAGTGTCGAAGAAATTGTGTACTCATACTTCATGAAATATCTGTAAAATACTCCAGAAGGAAAAGATCAGAAAGTTCACATAAGGTTTACTATTACTAGAGTAAGCAACAGTTGAAGATTTTGTAATTTTTAGTGCAGCTGCGCGTTTATCTAAAATTAGAAAATATGGCTACTCTGCCAGTTTCTGCTTAAAAAATAGCAGTCAGAAAAAGGGAAAAGAGTTGCATAAAAAGTACCTCTCAACTGCTTACATTCGATGCCGTTTGGATACGATATCAAAGATGGTTATGCGAAAAGAATCACAAGAATTTTTGAAAAGCCAGCTGGAAAATTGCGAAGAAAAAGTATTGCACTGCTGTTCATTGGACCTTCTTCAAAACTCCGAAATGCGAAGTTGAAAATTTGAACGAAACCTCAGGGATTACCTAAGCGTCGAAAGAACAACTGAAACACGTCTAAACAGTGTAGTCATAGAAGAGTAAACGATTTCGCCCAGAGCAGTGTTTGTTTAGAGCATAAGTATAGAAGTACTAGTTTGTTCATGATGTTGATTTACGGATAGGTTCAAGACAGCACCTTCGCTTACCTCATGCTTATTCAAATAGTATGCCCGTAAGTCACCTACCTTCTCTCCGACGTGCAAATCCAATTCTCCTTTTCGCAAGGCACGATATTCGCAGCTTGCGACTCCAAGCAGCGGCTGTGGAAATCGTGAACTCTGTAAAAAAAAGTTGAGAGCATTCATTATGCGAGATCTTCTCTTTTTTCTGTCAATTATTCCGATTCGATTGAATTTAATAAGTCATTTTTTGCTTGCTGAAAAGCGTTGAGCTCAAATGTGTCAGTAGTTAGTGTGTTTGCTCCAAAGTGAGCATTATTGAATACGAATACAGTTCTTAACGGTGACCCCCAAATTTAACAGAG